CCATTTCCATTAACTAGTGCTCTCTGTTTTCCCTTTAAAGTTCTACATTCTATTATACACAGGTAGCCCGAGTATACGCCTTTAGGGCGTCTAGTTACTCATATATTGAAAACTATAAAACTATATATATATATATATATTGAAAACGATATTGAAAGCTATATTGAGTCTCCTAATTGGAGGATAAATGAGGCCGTAATTTACGGGATATATTCAGCCCTTCGGAGAATTTATTAATATAAACAAACCAACAAAAAAACAAAAACAAAAAAAAACGCATTGTCGGTTGTGAATTAAATCAGACCCATTGTGGAATGTATCTTGAATCTCTTCCGATGAATTTTAAGATAATTCAGCCTTTTGCTCATGGGATTTTCAAATTCATTTTTAGAACAATCGATAAAACCAGTATCTTTGCAATAATCTAATATTAGTTTATTGTGATCGATAACGATCAACAAGGCAACATTGTCTTAAAACTATTTCTATTTCTTTGCAATCATGTGATAAATAGGTTCTTGCTATATATACAGCAGATTTGAAACTGAACAACAAAGATCAATGAAAACAGTCTTTCAGCAATGTCATGTACTATATATAAAAACGAGCAGCAGTGTTTATTCAAATGTAAAAGTCCTTAATAAAACTCATGGTTCGAATTTTTTATATGGCATTAAAAACCTTCAACACTAATAAAACCAACAATTTTAAATAAAATAATCGAAGATGTACAAAAATTGAAAGTTATGAAAACTGCCTTAGGCCATTCTGATCATCATGCGCATAATTTCTCATGTATATATGTACTGAGGATTTACGTTTCACTTTTGACAAATTTTCAAAGTTCATGGGAAATACCCTAGCCTTTAATTCTTAATTTCATATACAAGTTCATTTCCTTGGTCCGTTCTGATCACATGGTTTGAACGCATGAATTATTTTAATAATTCATTAAAATGACTTTGGAAAACTTTAGTATGATCTCTCCTGTCCTCATACCGTCCATTTTACTTCTTTGGACTAACCACATGCGCTTCTTGAGCGCCTTTAATTTGGAGTTGAATGCAGTTATAAATGAGATCACTGTAAGTTGTCCACAATTCTCCATCTAAACTGAAATACAGTTAATATTGCTGTATCCCAAGAACACGTACTTCTGACTTGAACTTCAAGTGATAGTAATTTTCCTAACGGATTATTTTACAGTGGACTGAAGAGGTTGAATTAAACGAAACTAGTTTCCACTTGAATATTTATTTGTCGTTTTGGCGTACGTACAAAAGATAACAAGTTAGGGATTTATACCTAACGAAAACAMCTTACTATGATTACAAAATCTTTTAAAGTCTCGGCTAAAACAATTTCAGAAAGTTTTTTAAGTGTCTGTCCTCTAATTGACGATAAATTGCGCATTCACATTGCTACGCCTCGAGCATCCGCTACGATTAAAACTTCTCATTTTTAGCGATCGAAACAACCAACGGAAAGAGCGCGCGCTAGTTGGCGTTAGCTTTATCTGTCTGTCCTCTTATTRATGATAAAAATAAACAATCTGCGTGCGACAAATTAAAAATTATAATAATAATGACATAAAAAAGATAATGACAAGTAAAACAGGAATGGCTCCTGCTTGAAGGCACCGTGTGCGGCATGTATAGGAAAGATAGCAGACAGAACGAACAAGAAACAGGAAATACATAGACTTACGAATCGAGCTTCTCGGAATAGAAGAATAAAACAGAATTGCACAAATACGGCGAACTGAGAGCATCTGGCGGAAAAAATCGCCAATAAAATGCCCTTCAAGCAGGTAAAAACAATCTAGGCTTTCTGTACTTGTTCGATAATGCGATTGTATTGCTTGCTGTTGGGGACTTTAGGATTGAAAAGTTATGATAAAATACCTGAACGTTGAAAATATCAGATAATTGTACTGTATGGGTGTTGAGCGGGGGTCCTAGTCCCATTGCCACAAGTGAAAAGCGTCTGCGCATGCTCTGAATCCGTATGTAAATTAGTCAAAACACAAGTAAATTTGATTTTCAAACAAGCCTGATGAATTGGACTTCACAAAATGCCAAAACTTAGTGTCCATGCTTGCAACTTAAGGCTAATTCTTTCATTTTGTGTTTGTTAAGACAGTATCTTGATCTGACAAAAGTATATTCTCGAACTTTTTTGTACACTTGGAGAAAACAAACATTTACTTTCTCACTCAAACTCTTCAAAATACGTGCTGAAATGCACGCATGCGCAAACGTTTTTCTCTAGTGTCAGTCCCATTTACCAGCCCAAAATTTAACAAACAATGATTAGGCGACTCAGAATGATATGTTAAGACCTTCCTTTTCGAGTTGTATTTTATTTTCACGATACGAGGTTTTAAACCTATAAAATAATATTTTGGGCATTAAAAGACAACATTCATTACGAAAACTAGTTTCGTCTTTATAGACCTTTTCAATCATTTTAAAAAGGGGGACTAGCACGTAAATCTTCCAGAATTTAAATCGGCTGAAACTTCAATGGAAAAAAACCACCTTTAAGGGTTCAGTAATCACTGGTTAAAGCTTTTTCTTTATATTCCAATACGAAGTATTATATTTTTACTAATTTCTGTCTTTGACGTCATACACTAAACATTGCTCCATATATTTCTTTTTTTCTCATATATTGAACATTGCGCATTAGTTCATATTATCAAATATATAGTTGACAGTTCTTTGAACATTCCATGCACAATGTCCTAAGTGAAAATTCGCCTCTTYCTCTGTCACATTGGCCAAACTACAAACCTGAAGTACTTTAACAATATGGTCAATATCTCCTTTATATTCGAGTATTCTTGCATAGCAGGTATCTTTCGATATATCAGGAAACTCTAACTGGATTTTCGCTATTCCTTCGTTAATTTCGTCCCCATATGCAGYTTTCTTTTCTACGGAGCTCGTCGTTTCTATTTGTCTAGGTGGAAGTTTTGGTAGTGTCGTGGGAAATGGTCTGCTATAAACAGGACGATCGGAACCTGATGTACGCTCGTTAAGATAACTTGAAGGATACGTCAGAGTACTTGGATCAATGGTATGGTTGCTAGCAGAGGCGCAACTACTTTGCATGGACGTGGGAGTCTGAGAGACTGGAATTGGACGTGGTACTGGACGTAGTACTGGACGTGGTACTAAATCTTCAACCTTCCTAGAAATAATATCTTTTGGGGGAAGAGGAGGAGGAACATTATCGTGAGTTGCGTCTTCCTTTTGCTTTTCCACGTTTTCATGTAATGCTAGATCAATAAGAAGGCCTTCTCTTACCTCGGAGTGGTTAGAAGGCATTTCTCTTGCTGAATCAGTTGTGTCATTTGCAGCTGTAACTGGTAAACTTGGAAGAGAAGGGAAGGTTTCTTTACAGGCGCCTTGGGGATGGGAGTCCCTTATGGGTACGGAAGAAGACATTGGTTCTTTGTCGAAGCTGATCAAATTGTTAAGATCAGCTAAATCGTCAACATTTGTTTCTTCGTTGTTAGGTTCGATTTGGGCACTTTGCTCAGTTTCGTTTATTACTAACTCAGGTTCTTTTTCTTTGTACATAAACGAATTTTCTTCTCGAATTTCTTCCTTGCATTGCGGAAAAGAGCTTTCTTCGCCTTCTGATTTGACACTAGCACATTGCTTGCTTTCTTTTATGTCATCCCTGTGACTGTCAATAGTACTGACCCATTCCAGCTGTGAATCTTGTTTTTCGACGTTAGTCGATTTTGGTCTGATTTTTCTTGGTTTTGGTACCGGCTTAATCTTCTTTGCAGGAAGAGTTTTGGAATGTGAAGATTGAATTTGTTCCAAAATATCCGCTCTTTTAGGGATTGGTGGAGGGATTAAATTTTGCCTAGATACACCAAGTTTAACTGATTTTGTCTCGTGGTCCACATGTTGTCTTCCTCCATCCATTAAAGTGTACAGTGCCTGGCCAGCTCCCTCGCTTCCCTCGTCCTTTTGGACTAAAATATATGGGAATGAATTAGTAAATCATTACCCCAACAGAGATTAAGTGATTAAGATTAAGTCAAGTTACTTTGAGACAAGTAATGCCTCATGAT